TGTGTGTGTGTGTGTGTGTGTGAGTGTGTGTGTGTGTGTGTGTGTGTGTGTGAGAGAGAGAGAGAGAGAGAGAGAGAGAGAGAGAGAGAGAGAGACGTCCGAACGCGTACTGACGGAACCATTATCAATAACGCGAAGCGAGGGACAGCCGTAGAGGGGAAACGGGGCCCCATGGTGAAGGCATTAGGACAAAATAAAAAAGCAAGTTAGTGCGCGAGCACTTCCCGCTCAGACCAGCGTTTCACCGCCCTCTTTTGAACGATATAGATTTTTTATTTTATTTTTCCCACCTCAAAATATTGGAACGATATAGAGATGATTTGAATGGCCTTTCCGATTAAAAAAAATCGAAAATAACAAACGAACAAAAGACAAGTCAGCCGTGCCGAACAAAATTAGAAAGAATTTGTTTTTACCGTTTCTCGATTTATGCGATCCGTCCTTGCGCGCTGCGGCCAAGCTAATCAATCTTCTCTCTCTCTCTCTCTCTCTCTCTCTCTCTCTCTCTCTCTCTCTCCCTCCTTGCAATTTTGACGGATGTCCCGAAGGACTGGTTCGTTGAAATTGCAGCCGGGCAGTGCTGCTGCTTCGGAGGGCGGCTTCCGAGTCCAGTGAGGGCACACTCACACTAGCAGTTTCCGTAATGTATCTGAGTGGAATTGCGTCCTTACTTGGACGCATCTGACCGTAATCAGGTCCAGAGGTTAGTCGAAAATGTCTCCCTGTGAATATGCCCTAACTCGTGATGGCAGCGATATGGGTGGCGGTTGGACAGGACTCACAGGAGCGCTTCTCCAGTCACCTAATGTGAAAAGGACAAAACTATCTCATCTCCATCTGTGCACATTTTAGCTGGCAATATTTTTTTTCTTCTTTCTTTTAAGTTGTTTTTTTCCTGTTCAAAAGCGTAAGGAAAAACATTCTCAGTAAATACTCACACGGGCACCTTGAATTCCCAAGCACCCTCAATTTTGTTTGCCACTTTCGGGGTCACATTGGTCGGCCGGCTACCCGACCAATGTGACCCCGAAAGCACCCTCAATTTTTTTAGCCACTTTTTCGTCTCCCCGTTGTCAGCTGCCTTCAGGGGTCACATTGGTCCACGGTCTAAAGTCTACAGTCTTCCCCCGAATACAACGTACGGTCATTATAGCTGAATTTATTAGACTGAAATATACCCTAAAAATTCAGCTTTAATGACCGAACGTTGTATTCGGGGGAAGACTGTAGAGAGGTTGGAAAGAAAGCTCCGCATTGTTGAAGGCGAAAGAACAGTAGGGCACATGAGGTACGCACGCAGCTGCAAAAAAAATCGATGAGTCCGGCGATCTTTTTTTTTTTTTTTTTTAAACCCCTTTAACACTAACGGGGGGTTCTTGTTCGAGCACTCCAACAGTTCCATGGACGAAAAAGTACATCATCTATTATTGCTGCAGGAGGGCGTTCTATTCGGGTGAAGACCGTAGCTTGATTGTCAAGGTGAAGTCAGTAGTTCGTCAAAGGGCAATCAAGCTACGGTCTTCACCCGAATAGAACGCCCGGTCATTATCGCGGCATGTGGACAAATACAACTACAATCACCGGGGGTTCTATTCGAGTGAAGACGCTAGTTCTGATGATGGTGATGATGGCCGCAAATTGTCCCGGTTACTGCTCCCCGCTCGTTTTTTCTGTTTTTTTTTCCCTTTCCCACCACTCCTTCGTTCCTAACTTCCTAGCTTTTTGCTGTCTTCGGCCCCAAGTTTGCCGCGCCTAAGGGCAACGGCCCTGGTCCTAGTTTCTGTTCTGGCTCATATCTCCACATGCGCGCACCACTGACTGAGGTCGTCATAGAAGTTGCACTTTTTTAAATGTGTCTGCCCGTGAATACGGCCGGACCGGGATGCATCTGACCGCWATCACGTCCATGGTTGGGTCGGAGGTCCTAGTGCCATGATCATTTTTGCTTTCTTATGTTGGTCCATTTCTGGATTTATGCGTGCCATCCTTGCGCGGGGGCACCGCTCATCTTCTTTCTCTATGTCGTTCCCGATTGACGTCTGGCGCATTTCCAAACCAAGCTCCAACCCCTTCTTCTTCTTCTTCGTCTTCTTCTTCTTCCCTCCTTTTTTTTTTTTTTTTTTCTGTTCAATGGCCCCTTTCCATTGGGGTAATCGGTAGAAGTTTAGCCCTTTGGTAGTACCGGCCCAATGACTTGCATCTGGGGTACTACAGGCCCACGCCTCGCTCCAAGGGTCCTACCGGATCATGAATCTGGCGCACAACAGAGCCTGAGTCATTTTGATGTAATAGAGGCCGGGGGTGGTAAAGATGAAGTATCGAATGAGACCCACGTACGCGATTTTGAAAAAGAAGGGCCCTACCGGTTCATCAATCTGGCTGAGAAACAGCGCCAAATTCTTGAACCGGTAAAAACAGGCCCAGGGAGATGTGGCCATGGCGCGAAGGCGCCTTTCAGCCAGGGCAAAGTTGTTTTGGCGTGGGCTCTTTCTACCAATTATCTCCTTTCCATTGCTGGCAGCTGCACCTGCTGGGAACCAGGCCCAGCTTCCCTTCATAATGAGGCCGGGGTCCTCACAGTCAAGCCCCGGAGAAATGATAACTTGTATTACGGCGAGCTTCACCCGTCCTTGCTTCATCTTAAGTTCAGACGTGGAATGCCTATAATTTAGGTGAAGGGTCCTTCGGGACATCCGTTAAAATGGGAACGATACAGAGAAGGGTAAATTAGCAAATGGGCCCTGTGCAAGGACGAGACGCATTAATCGAGAAAAGGTCCAAATGTTTCCCCCAAACTGCTGCCCATGATGCTGAATGTGCTTATTTAAAGATATTTTCTCCCCTTAAAAAAAAAAAGGTAAAAAAAAAAAGAAAAAAAGGGTGAAGGAACCCAGTTGTAAAGTAGCTGGGAAGCTGTCAGGTAGGAAGAAGGAAAGTAGGCTAAGCTCGGTCTGGATGGATGGATGATCCCGCGGCTGTTCAGAATAAAATAGCTACCGTCTTCCCCCGAACATAACGCACCCTAAAAATGAATGTAAGAGAGCCAAAATGAGGGTGCGTTGTGTTCGGGGGAAGACGGCAGTCGTTGGATTTTGTTGTTTCCAGGTTTAAAAGAGATTTTAAGATTTGGGATTTTGGTCGTTTCTTGCAGACGGAATCACAAATCAACTAGCGCCAACAATCAGAGAGGTTCTGGAGAGACCGCTCCTTGCTCAGAATATACTAGCCTCGTAAGGAAAGTTTGACCAGTAATTTCGACCTCGTGGTCTGACATGCAGTTCACGGGCCACATGGCCGGTAGAGACAAATTTTGACATTATTTGTAGTTTGGGCCCTTGGGGTCAATCAGCCACAGGCCATCTTCCGACCTTGGAAATCACTTCCAAATACATTGGCTGCAACCCCGAAGTATAAGCTTCTTCACTCGTCACATGTACTGTCACGAGGAAACCACAGAAGCCTTAGGCAAAATCAGCTGAAGAACGGAAGAGCACGCACCCAAAAAGAGAGAGGCGGCGAGTCTGTTCCCAAGAGTAGATGCGAGTGACATGCGACTGAGGACTTTGGATTCCAGGATCTTTTCTCTTTCTTTCTTTTCGAAGCAAAAGGGCTAATGGTCACTTTGTGACCGCGTGACCTTGAAGTAAAAGGGCGAGGGCCTTGAACCCCCCCCCTCGCCCGCCCCCCGAATGGATCCTGCAATGAATTTTTTCGGAGTTCAAAAAGTTAAAAAAAAAAAAAAAAAAAAGGGGGAAGGGGGGTTGTAGATCCCCATGAGATCTACAATCCTCCTTTTTTAAAACAATACATACAATCAGAAAAACAAAAAAACAACGAAGAGCGAATAATGTTAGGACCTGCAGAACACGGAATGAGACACACAGGGTATTTCTGAGTTTTGCCAATGGATGCAGAGTATTTCTGAGTTTTGCCAATGGATGCAGAGTATTTCTGAGTTTTGCCAATGGATGCA